AATATAAGATTCAGTTGATTAATTTGAAAAGATTAAAGAAGTTACTAAATTACTTAATTATGACATATGTTACATGATTTTTTTAGAATGATTGTGTGTATGTGATCGTACTTATCGCTAGCGCTTCAAATTAGTTACTAGTATTAACCCTATTTGGTTTATAGGAGCTAACCCTAGGTCGGTCTCTTGTGGAGTCAAAGCCTAGCTTTAAAACAACTTTTAAGTTGAATTACATGATTAAAGAGAAATAAGGAGTAGAAGAGAATGTTGATTTTAAATTAAGGTGAACAAGAGAATGTAAAAATTAGAGATAGTGAATAAAAAAAACTTTACTGATAAGATGAGCTTTTTAAGGATCGATGTGTGGCTATCTCGGTCCAAAAGTTAATAAGAGTTGATAAAAAGAAGATTAATAAGTCAAAATATAAACCCTAGGTGAACACGTAGGCCATAACTACTTAATTAATATCTATACCTAGAACTAGTATACAAATATCAACTAAATAATTATTTTTTTAGAACCACTTAGCATGTGAAATTCAATACCAGTTATAATTTGTTCCTCAAAACAAGAATATCCAAACGATATATTCTTAAAAAGCAAGCGAGTGCTAAACTTAATTCATAACTATTCATGCAATCCTAAAAATAACATACTAGAATAACATGAAATAATTATGGGAGGGAAAAAGATTTATAAAGAAGTTCACAAATTATAACTGAAAAAGAAATTCTCATTAATAATCAAAAGAATCACATATAAGACTTTCAAAATCTAAAATTAGGAAATCATAAAAACTTACATATGAAAGATATAAAACTCTAGTTACAACTCATCAAAATTAATGCATAGGACTCAAGTCATAATATCTCTCCTCAAGAACAAGGAGACTAGCCACTCATGTGGCTAGAACACATCATATTGATAAAGAAAGAAAACAAAAATATAGAGATGAAAGTAAAGAGAATTTGACGCTTTAGTGATGCTTGTGGAGAGTGTAGAGAGTGAGTGAAGAAGACGTGACTTACTTCTTGTCTTTGGACCTCCTTTTATAGCCTTGGCTGACCCCCTCCTTACCTCCTTATAGAATAAAGATTATGATCTTTACTTTATTTTGGACTCTTGATATTTGCTTGGAAAATAAGTGATCAAATTAATATTTGAATTAGGATAAAAGATGACTTAAGTTTATTTGAATTAATGCTTAGGATAATGAGAAGCTTAGTTGGCACAATGTGAGTAGAAGTAGGGAGGGTTTAGGATAATTCAAATTATTAAAAGGGAAGACTTGGAGAGAAAGTAAAGAGATTTAGTAGGAGTTTTTGATTTATTCAAATATGGATTTGGGATATAATTAATTTAAAGAAGATATTTTAAGATATTATTTAATTAGATATTAACAATTCCTCTTTTAATTAAATTTGCAATACCAAAATTGCTTTTCATTAATGAGGTGACACTTCCTTTGACTTGATGGGAAAGAAAACCCTGTAAAATCACCTCCTACCCTTTTTTAATGGTGATCCACCTTTTTGAACAATGAAAAAAATGCTATTTGGGCTTAAATGGAAGTGTTAGGGCCCATTTGAGAGGTATAAGTGGTAAGTTAACATGCATAGGCCCTAATTATGCTGTAAGTTGGCCCAAATGCATTCTTGAGGCCCTGAAATCTATTGATTTTTCAACACCTATGTTTTTTTCCCAATCCGTTTGGGCTCCAAAGCCTACCTTCCTTGAGCCATTATCACTTTGCAATAATGTATTAGGCCCAACTTAGATTCAAAGCTCCTAATTACTCTGAAATACACAAGAAAGTAGAGATATCTTTGTGTAGATTAATTTAACTAAGAAAACATAATAATTAGATCCATTTTAGCATTTATTTATACAATTCCTTGTTAGCTCAAATTATTGACAACTATTGCAATTAAGCATAAAATTCTCAAAATATAGATACAAATATACAATAAAATAGGAATACATCAGTATCATTAGAAGGGTGTTTGGATTACCTAAGAAGTGCTTTTAAAAAGCACTTTTTTTGTAAATTGAAGCAAACTCCTCCATATATAAAAGCACTTTTAAAAATATAGTTTTGTTTCTATCCAAACACTTCCTAAATTATATATCAATTCATAAAATGAGTCAAATTAATTTGGAAAAAAATGATAAATATAAATGCTTTTTTTTTTTGGCCAAAGAAATGTATTCATATCATTCAAAGAAAAAAAGTCTACAGAACATCAATGCAAAAACTAGAAAAAAGAAACTGGCTCCAAGGCCAAAAAGTGTCAGCAACAAAACACAAAACGAGAATTCTAAATGAAAGTACAATGGAACACTCTGCAACTGAATAATGCAAGCCAACTTCCAATGCTTCAACGAACAAGAAAACGGCTATAGAAGGTGGTAGTCTTGAGACTTGCTCAACAAATGAGCCCAACTTCTTTGACGCCAATGCTGCATCTTCAATCGCAGCTTTAATCCACTCCCTTAAAACAAGAGAGGAAGGAAGGCACTAGAATCCAAAATGGACCTCCAGGACAAGCAGCATACAGGAACTAGTCCATACATCATTCAGCCTAAGGGCACCAACGTCTAACCACAACACTCTATTTATAACCAAAGATAAAACCAGAGGCTTCTGAAGACAATCATATTCTCCAGGTGGAACCCATCTCAAATCATCCTGCTTTTTTAGAATAACCTGTCCCAAGTTTGCATAATTTCTTTTCTTGCAAATAATAAAGGCAAACCAAAAATATAAATGCTTTAGAGTAATTTAATAATATTTTCAATCTTTTTAAATTAGTCAACTGAGTTTTATATTAAGGATCAAAAGTAGTATTTCTCAAATAAACTGATATATATCATAGGATTTTTATCCCAGTGAATTAAACTTTTAATTATTATCCTACTTTCAAGTGCTTGGCAATTGATCTTCCATTGGGGCTACGGATAGATACAAGTTACCAATCTTAAATCGGTATCATGGGGCTAAACTTTGCCACTCTTGCGGGCAGGAAAAAAAATTACAGAACTGGATTTTTTACACTTATTCGAGATGAATCCTATTTGTAAGTGTCTTAATGGGTAATCAGCCTTGCCAAAGCACATGGTTAAATGTCTATCAACAAGTTTTTTTTTTCCTTAGATTCTCGGGACGAAAATTATTTTGTTGCTATGGGTATCATGGAGCCGAGGACCATCGAACTTTATTTTCCTCTATTTCGGAATGATATGTTTGATTATCAATTGCCGTAAATTAAAATCAAATAATGAAATGGATATCAATTTATTTTCAGTTATTAAAATCTTAACTACTAATATTTAATATTTGATTTGAATAGTTCATAACAAAAGTAAAAAGAAAAAAAATCCACTTCTTAAAATACTCTAATAATAATTTGCAATTATAAATTGCTCAAATCAAGTATCCTAAGTGTATAAAGCTAAATGCCTAAGTTTTCTTCTTATGAAACATTTACTTCGCAATAATAATAATTTTCAGATTATAAAATTATTTTGGAAAAATATTTATGATAAATTTTAAAAAATCAACCAATAATACGTACATATTTTGTTCTGTAAACCAATATATGCACACATGCATTAAATTATTAAAACTTTGGCCCTACTGATGATTTTTGTCCAACTCCGTCCTTGTAAGTAATCTGATTCATCTTAGGCAAGTTTTCATCTTTAACTATTTGCTCATTTTCTGAATAAAAACTTGCCAATTTTGAGATTCAAAAATGAGATACTCAATGAAAAGGAATTAGTCGCCGCCTGTTTCATGGGGAAAAGGCCATGGAAATAATTAGGTAAATTTTCTTACTTTCATATTTTATTTTATTTTTCATTTTTTTATCCACATCACTTACAATCTTATTTATTGGGAAATAATATTTCAACAGGATTGGTATAAAAAAAGTGAAAGAGGATCATTTTATGTGAATAGGGAGCGGAAAAAAGAATGAGAATATTAATGAAACTTATTTAATATCTCATTTAGTACGTTTTAGACAGGAATGAGAACAATTTTTTTCATACAAGAACGAGAATAATTTTTAGATAGGATAAAACATAATAAAAATTAAAAAGACAAAGTAGTAATTTACTAATTTTCCTTATTATCAAATTTTCAGAAATAAACAAAAGGGCAAATTTGACTTTTTATATCTTATTCCAAATTATACAGTATTATTCCATCAACCCAACTAAGAAATGATCAAAGCATGGTCCAAGGTAAAATGCATGATTAAAAAAAATTTTACGCATCAAACATTGCATTTTGATAATGTGATCCTCTTATGGCTAATTGAGATCCGGATTTACATTAGATGCTCATCAGATCTGGACTGTCTAAATTTATTTTTATTTTTATTTTTATTTTTATTTTTTAAAAAATAATTATTTTAACAGGTATAAGATAAAAAATAAAAATAATCTCTTAACTATTATTCTTTAAAAATATTTTTTTTCTATTTTAAAATAATTATTTAATAATATTAAATCTGGACCGTCTAGATCTAATCTGAACGGTCCAGATTACTCATCAGGTGATGAGTACTGAATGGGAACCCATTGAGATCCTGATATCTCTTGCATGCTTTTCTCATAAGAAAAATAGAGTTGTGTGTGATGGCCAGTAGCTATGGATGAAAGAGGACAAGCAAAAGGCTGTGCGAAAATGTTATGAAAGGCTCGAAATTGAAGATTGAGTCCCACTGCACTGAAGGCTACAAAAGGAAAGCAACGAAGGCATTAAGAAATTTCAAATTAAGCTCAAAGGCTTTGATACCATTTTGCTTGGAAAAGAAGCTATGATCCCAAGTTAAATGACTAGAAAATTCATATATTCTTTGCAAGAAAAAGACCCTGATGTATTTATTTTAATTTTATACAATTTAAACATGCACATACACAAATATATGAAGATCAAGCTCCACTGCTCGAGTATGAGATTTTATCTAAGTATAGTAGGTGGCACTGTCATTTAAACAACTTGCCATTGACAATAACGTATTTACAAGAGTTGAGAGCTTCAAAGGATAAGATGAATTTACAATTTCATCCCTAAGATGAAGGGCAAAGTACGATTGCGTTTCTAGACGTTAAACTACCTACAGCAGATTAAACAAATACAAAAACAATTAAAAAATACCCCCTTTTTTTGGTTGCTCGACACTAATAAAAACACACTTTTGTGCTGAAGAATCGTGATTTGAATGGGTAACCAAAAAATGGGACTACGATTCAAACAGCCTTACAATCAATGACGGATGGCCCAAACAACAGAAGAGACCAGTTGATCTGTCAACGTCCTTTTACTCCAAAGGTCATGCTGCTCATTAACCCTCAAAAGGTGGGGCAACGAGACACAAGAGAGATACTGAACCTATTCACTAGAAGTAGAAGCCTTGTCTCCTATATATCATGTTTCTTGGGCTGACGCCATTGCATAAAACTTCTGGACCAAGAACCGAGGAATGAGTTCTTGCGAGCTAATCCTTTCTTTCCAAATAAGTGTTTTCCCCCCAAGTCTGTGAATACCGGGCGCATGTCCTTGCTTCTCTGTATTCTTTCGATCTGCAGAACATAAAATAACGTGTTGGTTCTGCAACAAATCATGAGTTTTCACATATTTCGAGGCAGAGCTTGGGTTGAGTGGGATTCTGCTTCATTGGTGGGCTTCAATTCAGGATTTGTTAGTGTACAGAGCAGATTATTAAAACATGTACAGGGAATTATAGATGACAGGTTGGAAATAATGGCGGTTCTTATGTATAGGGAAGGAAACATTTGTGCAGATTGGCATGCTAATTCTGGAATCTGGTCTGCAGGTTCATATGATTCCAATTTTCTACTTGTTATTCATATTTCATAGTTATTACTCCAATTCTCTCCCAATTGGGATTTTGCTTAGAAAGCAATATATATACAATATGCTTCATCTAACATAAGCAAGTAATGTCTTACTGAGGCTGACACAAGGCATTGAACAACCTACCCTGCTTACTTTTCCATTTTCCAAATAGTACAGAGTACCAGACCAATTGATATGTTGAGATAAACGAGAACGAATGGCAGATACCGGATATAGAAAGTTATCCACCAACATCGCTATGAACACCTGCTCAGTAAATATTAATTGATAGCTTTATCAGCAAGTAATCTCACATCCTTCGGTACAAACTGAATCCTACATATTAACATGTTTACATTTGTTTATATAAAGGAAGCTTAGAGAAATACTTACAAGACACCAATTATAGGAAGTAAGAGAAAGCCGGGGTGCCTCCGGGGACAAAAGGTTGCACAGATGAACTTCTATCCTTGTCAAGTTCCACATTGAAAAAAGAGCAATGAAAGTGCATATAGTTAAGAAGCTGACCAGTGATAACCCTGCGTGAAAAGCATAAATCAAACTACAAGAAATGAGAACATCTTAATCATGCATTTCTCCACCATGGTGGATGATTTTTCTCATTCTCCCAAGCCTTGTAGTATAGTGATCATGCAATGTAATAACTAAAAATGGCATGAAATAATAACACTAGGAAAAGTAGAATGATCACCGTAAGCCATTTCCTCAGATGAGTACCCTTTGATATAAAATCTTAACGCTGCCAAAACATGAATAATTGCCATGAAGTATGGCGCTACAAATCCCCATGACAGATAACAGTGAGCAGCAAATAATACACGGTTCATTATCCAGTTAGCCCTTGTTACATATGACTCCAACACAAATGTTTGTTTTCGTAAGTAATTCCAGTACCTGATCATGGATTAAAAAGTCAAACAGAATAAAACTATAACACAACTTTGATGAGTATGTGAATGCGTAACAAACCTTCCAAAATTAAGATCACTGGCAAGTGGATGAGGAAACACAGCAACTGGAGGAGAATAGATGAGTTCTTTGTGAGCCCCTGAAAAGGAGAACATTATAGTAATATGTTATGAAACAGAATGGAATTTGGTCAAAATAAATGAATGAAGGAATGAAAGAAAAGGAAATAGTTCTTAAAAAATTTAGTCAAGATCTTGAAACCAGAGACAGATCTGGACTTTGTTTTTGTCAAAGATTTACCAGCTATAGCTGCAAGAGTCATATCATCAGAATATCCACCATCTTGAAGTCCGGAGACTACACCACAACGATCTTGCCTAAAGTCATCAGCATGCATCTGAAGACATTTGAATAGTTAGAATCCGCTTTACCTTTTCTGATGCACTAATCAAAGCAAACAAAAAGTAGAGGTTACTTGCCATCATGCAACCTCCCCACAGAAAAAAAGTTTTCCCACCAGTCGCAAAGCCCATTGAACATGGCTGTGAGAAGGTTAAAAAACAACAAACTTAAGCTAATATGATATAATGAAAGACACATGGAAAGCCATCAGGCCCATCAATGACATGTTAAGTATCCAGTGATTTCTGAAGGCTCCAGTTAAATTCATTTTGTGAGACTTCTTACAGTGAATCACCTTTCACCAGAAATGCATAAAGCACACAATCCTATATGGGAAGGAGGGAGGGTGAAGGGGGGAGCACACAAGTGAGTGAAGATACTATGACAGTCGCAGTTGGATACCATATGGTATTCATAGATGCAGTAGCTTCCAAGACTTCCAGATGGCAAATCGAGAGGGTATCCAGTTTGAATAAATATCTGTTAAGCATCAAAACACTTGAGAACATGATTATATAATATAGGCAAGTAGAACCTCTACTGCTATAATTAAACAAGAAGAAATAAGTATTTTAAGTTATACCTTAGGGTTTTTCTCCATCTCTTTGGTGAGCTCTCCAATTGTTCCAGGATGTAGCCTAACATCATCATCTAAAAACAATACATATTTGCTGTCTTTACGCATATTTTCAACTCCAACCTGCCCATGTGCTTACAGTGTCTATTACTAGGGCAAATGAAACAAATCATATTATAAAGAACGACCTAACCGATCAACACAAATGAAAAAGCCCTGTACATTTCCATACCAATGTATAAGCCAATGTAACATACCAACTGATTGTGAATCTTTTGACTACAAGTTGTTGCAAAATCAGCCACAATAATCCTAGCATTAACGTTATCCTGCATGAACAAATATAACATCAAAGTTGGTAAGGTACAGGTACAGATATCAAAAGACGCTCAAAACAAAATTAAAGCTCTGCCACCGCATCAAGAAGCCAAGAATCTAGCCTTAACATGGAATTCTCATTTTTCACTTCTTCCAGGTTTGGATAAAGAGGGGGATGATGTACTTAAATGAGTTTATATATCAGCTTGTAGAACATAACAGCAAAACTATAAACAGGTCTCTGAAATAGGAAATAAATCTCAATCTGTTTCAGGACTATGTATACCTCATATTCTGATAGCAGTAGTGATATAGCATGGTAAGCAGGATCCTCTGTGCTTTCTACCACAAAAAGAAATTCTAGAGAGCCCCCGTAGAGAGATGTTATCTACGTTTGTTAAATAACAGAAGTGAACCTCAAATAAGAAGCATAATGGTCATACAGCAATTTATAAACAGAATAGAGTCAAACACCACAGTTCATAAAATGTGCAAAATACTAAAAAAATCATACAACTTAAATTTCAATAAGAAACTAGATATATTTATGCAACCTACAGTGAATTCATTCAAATTTGGGATAAACACAATATGTAGAGAATAAATGTTGATGTAAGCACTCATAATAATTAAGTTAGATATAAAATTTCCAATCCATAAAGAACCAAACAAGCGCAACAAATAGTAGTTTTAGAAAGAATCACATCAAAGGAAAGAGTTGGGAAATGCATGGGCTTGGCCTACAAGCCCTTAAGCTCAAGCTCAGAAGCCTTGTTTATCTGATTTTGGTCATTTTTTGAAACCTAGCCCTAGTTGATCGGGCTCAAAGCTAGGCTTGAAAGCCTGGATAATATCATTTTCCTTTTCTCAATGTAAGTTTCACATGGTCACAATGCATATCCAAAATCCAATTTGAATAATACAACAATAAACTCTATAGGACCAAATTAAAATGCTTTAAAATACAAATTTAAAGGAAAAATATAAATTTTCTAAAGTCCAAGTTATAAATATACAATTAAATTTTTCTTGATATCTCATCTTCATCATCAGAATAAAAAATTTGACGCTTCAAAAATGGGGTCAGGTCATCCAGCTTGATAAAATTATGTAAAACGGAAAAAGAAAAAAAAGGCAACAAAAAGAATTTTCAGGCTAGCCGAAGCCTAGCCTTTTTGGCAGGGCTTTTCTTTTTTATTTTTTTGCCAACCTTTAGCAGGGCTTTTAAGCCTGAACTAAAAGCCCTTTTCCTCATCCTCCCCCCCAATTTCCCAAGCCCTGCCCTAGGTAAAATGTGAGGAAAACAGACTACCCCAATGGGTTCACCTGAATTCCCAGCTCCATAAATCAATGGAACATACCAAAAATGAAAGTTCGGAGGGCATGTGTCCAGAATATTACCTGACTTCTCCAATTGTGTAAATTGTGTTCTCCAAAACCTTTTAGTGGCATAATTACAGTTACTGTTGGCAGGTTGACCTGATGTGAGTGCTCAAGTTCGTTGATATTGTGACAAAGGAAAGCGAAGTCGTTGCCATTCCGCATACTGTATTTAATTCTATTTATCTCTCTGTTCCTGTAAAGAATTATATATATCAAAAGTCTCATTAACATGGTATTGAAATTGTTTCACTGTTTGACATCAATGAGTACCTGACAGAAGCAGCCAAGGCCCACCCAATACCAAGAAGTAAGCAAATCACACATCCCTACAGAGCAGACATAAAATTTAGCTTTGAATGGCACAGTATCATGCAAGTATTTTTCATAAGCAACAAACACAGATGAATTTATAACAGCATTTCATGGCAACTTATTTAATTTAAATGACCAATTGAAAGTTATATCACCAAATTGCTGATGTTTTTGGCCATATACAAAGACAGTACTCAGATATTTAGGTTAAACTACTCCTTCATCACAATTAGTGCCATTTCGTCCAATAACCATGCAGATTCACAGATTGATGTGTCCTTGAACTCTTAGTGAAGCTTATAAAACATTCTGCAAGAAATAAAAGCATGCTGGGGTCCCCACGGGCCAGGGTTTATTCAAAGCAGTTTTAACAGCCTTGCAAATTCTGTACCAGTCATTCAGTAATCACTGAGACAATAAGCTTCAAAGCAGTTTAAATACTGCCGACTGGTGCCTAATATGCAAAGTGGAGTCACCTGTTAGTCCTAAGTCTTAATGAGAAAGCTTTGTTTCTTTTGCCATTTCTAACCCACAATAACCAAGCTAGTTTTTAACTGTATTATATATACAGCCAGCAGCTAGACGGCTAATCCTTAACATTATAAAATTAATTTAGAAACTCCCTTTTTTCTGGTGAAACTTTCCACCTAAATGTATGTATTCTGATAAGTTTATTCGTTCAATTTAAATTACTATGCGTCTGAAAAGGTTGATGATTAAAAATAATTGAGTCTCAGATATTAAATTGAATTTTAAGTTTTCAATTACTTTTAGGATTAAATAAATATTCATGTAAAATTAATATGCATATTTAGTTATTTACAATATATAAAATGGGTTAAACAAAGGTGTAACAATACATTTTCCAAACGCATGATTCATTAGAAATTATATGAGCTATATGTTACCATTAACAAACTTAGCAACACAAATGTATAAGAGTTGGATAATTCCAGAGAAACAGCAGAAAAATACAAAAAGAATGTTAATGCTTTTCGCAACATTTTCAGCATGGGAATAACAGAAGAGAAAGAAATGAGAAAAGGGAACCTGGATCTGAATGAAAACGGAGAATGGCGTACAAAAGGCTCTGCTAAGAGGGAGGAGGAACCAATCGAGAGCCTCCGACGAAGGCATTACGACCCTTGTTTTTCTCCCAACTTAATGTAATGCTCCGGGATGCCGAAACAGAAACGTCGACGAGAGTATATTCCTCATCCCATGCTTGCCTGTATCTGCCCTTCTTCCTTCTCTCTCTTCGATGGTCGTGGACATTGCTGAGAAACAAGCGGGAAAATGAGCTAAATTAGAGGAAGGAGGGGGGGGGGGATCACGAGAACGGTTAATTTTATAGCTAAAATCTGAAATTCATGGAAATTTCTCCATATATATCTTTATTTTTTGAAATGTGTATTGCGGGAGTGATTCGAAAATAAACCGATATGATCGAGCTCCATTTATAATGGAATCAGGAAAATGCCCGCTAGTTTCAATTCGCATCACACCGCTTGTGCTTTTCACCCTCCATTTTTATGATCGCATCCTCCTCCTTCATTTTGTCAAGCTTCCCATCCTTGCTACCATAATCACTTCCCATATTGAACTTTACCAGTGATCTCGGCTAAGTGACTTGTTCATACTCGCCAACTTGCGTGCTTGTTTGGACTACTTGCAAAAGTAAAAGTTTCTGCAAGCACTTTGCATAAAATTGAGGACAATTCGGTTCTGTAATATAATGTGATTTTTGTTTAATTAAGTGATAGATTTGAGGGGTTTTGGTTAATTCAAGCTTCAAATGAATATTTGAGTTGGTAAATGATAGAGTTTATGATTCTGAGGAAGAATTCGAGGAAAAGCATATGTTAGCACAGTTTTCATCTTATAACGCTTCTAAACCAACAAAAATTGTACTTTTGAGTTTTGAAAAAAAAAAAGAAGAGAGAATAATAAGTCGCGAGATTAATTTGTTTTGATGTTGAGGTTCAGAACGTTTTCTTCTTGAATTTATAACTTTTTCTAATTATTTTTGTTAATTATAAGATTTCAATCATGAAAAGTTAATTATTAAATATAGTATTTTTTTTTAAAAAAAAAAACTAACACTTACTTTTGATGGTTAATATAAAACTTAATTAATTATATGAGAAGATTAAAAAAATTAATTAATTTAGTTATTTATTATAAATAGGTATTATTTTTTTAAAAATATATTTATTAATTATATATATTAACTAAAATTATTGTTTGATAAAATATTTAATATATTCAACTATTATAAAAATTACTTTTAAAAAAATAAATAAATATAAAATATAAAATAAATTGAGATTTTATATTTAACAACAAATTAAAAATCAGACAAATTTTATTAAAAAAAACCAAAAGATAGTATAACTGATAAATTATTTTCAACGTCGATCACTATTTATGGTCCGGTGATCTCCGGGGCCAAAACGACAAACAAATTAGAAGCAGAATCGCAGTGAGGATAATGAAATAATTTGGACCAGAAAGACCCAGGGAAATGCCCCTGCCTCTTCTGCTACGTTCACTTCATCAGAACTGCCGGCACTCCTGCTCTCTCTCCCGGTCTCACGCTTCCAATCCCTCCGTCGCCCTCTTTACTCTTCTCCGCCGCTTCATGGCCGCAGCCGCCGCCGATTCAGTAAGCCCATCAAACACTCGTGTGGGATGGATCGGCACCGGCGTCATGGGGCAGTCAATGTGCGGTCACCTGATTCGAGCTGGCTATAAGCTCACCGTCTTCAATCGAACTGTCTCTAAAGCTCAACCCCTTCTTGATATGGGTGCTCAGCTAGCTCAGTCTCCTCAAGCGGTGGCTTCCCAATCCGACGTCGTTTTCTCCATCGTCGGCTACCCCTCTGATGTCCGTTCCGTCCTTCTGGACCCCAAATCCGGTGTGCTCTCTGGACTTAGGCCTGGCGGAGTTCTCGTCGACATGACTACTTCAGAGCCATCCCTTGCCGTGGAAATCGCCTCAGCTGCCGCCTCCAAAGGCTGCTACTCCATTGACGCCCCTGTCTCCGGCGGTGATCGGGGTGCTAAGAGCGGAACCCTAGCAATCTTCACAGGGGGAGACGAATCTGTAGTTCATCGGTTAAGCCCATTGTTTTCCCTTATGGGGAAGGTTAATTATATGGGTAGTAGTGGGAAGGGGCAATTCGCGAAGTTAGCTAATCAGATTACGATTGCTTCAACCATGGTCGGGCTCGTGGAGGGTATGGTGTATGCTCATAAGGCTGGGCTTGATGTGGGATTATACTTGGATGCAATTTCGACGGGAGCGGCGGGTTCGAAGTCGCTGGATTTGTATGGGCATAGAATCTTGAAGAGGGACTTCGCGCCTGGATTCTACGTGAATCACTTTGTGAAGGACTTGGGGATTTGTTTGAAGGAGTGTCAGAACATGGGTATTTCTTTGCCTGGGCTGGCTCTTGCTCAGCAGCTTTACGTGTCACTTAAGGCTTATGGTGAAGGTAATTTGGGAACTCAATCACTAATTTTGGTTCTAGAGCGACTCAACAATGTTACTCTCAAACCAGGAACTCCGGGTGCTGCATCCACTTAGGTCGGTAGCTTATGTTGCTAGTTAAGCAATGCATTGTGGGGAACTAGAATAATTCTCGATGACAATGAACATGGGGATACCACATTACGATATTATCCCTTCCTTTGAACAACAGCTTATCCTATATGATGCTGGTTGTTGCTTGCGTTAGATTGCTACAATGTGGTTTGTGTTCCTTGGATCCATAACATATAGTATGATGTGATAAATACTTGATTCTGAACTGGCTTATCGTGCATGGTATTGTACTATGGCTCATTTCTAGAAACTATGTCTAAGTCTAAATGGTGTTGAACTCCGCCAATTCATAGAGACAATTAAATTAACTTGTGATCAGATTTGGTTGAGTAACAATGCTAAGGCCCCCCCCCCCCCCCGGGGGGGGGGGGAGACCAGGTCAAGAGTGAGAACTCTCACCGTGTATTTAATTTTCTATCATTGCCAATAGAATGTAGACATTAATAAATATTGTGAGCTCAGAGTTTTGATAGTATGAACAAGGTGATCAATTTAAGGGGAAAGTAGATAGCTGAAATTGAAAATGATGGGTCATGGCAACAGCGCATCAGATTCAGTCCTGCAGATTTTGTTTTCTTTTGTACGTGTATCCTACCAATTGTTCTCCTGGACAAATTATGGCCCTGCGGCGCTTTTTGTGGAATGGAGTTCTTCATGAACTCCGTTAAAGATGTGATGAAGGAAAAGCGAAGAAACTTTGAAGAAGTTATCTAACCCGGATTACCTTCCATGTTAGTTGTTCCATGAGCTACATTTTCTCGTATGTGTATTTTAGCATGTCTAGTTGGGTTCAGTGCAGCTCATTTTCTAATTTTAGGCACATATATGATTTGATACTTATAAATTTGCAGTGAGAAGCTGCAGCTAAGCTTAACATTTATGCAACCAATTGAATTGTTTGTGGCTTAAGATTTAAATTTGCAGAGAATTCGGCCACCTTACTGAACCATTTGAATTGTTTGTGGGTTATAACGTTCGATGCGTCTGAATCTTACTTCATAATGATCTCATGTGTTGTGCTTATTAGATGTCTAAGCTTTACTTGATGCATATTTTGTGCATTTCTAAACTTAAAAGTCCCTTGTAACTGAACCTTAGTTATCTTCTCTTGATAATCCTATAAACACCAGAAGAGTGTTAGCAGATATCTTCTTAGGGAGTAAGAAGTTGGCAGATTGTGGTGCCTTGTTTTCCTTTATTATATATTATTCAGTACCATTATGTCAAGTTTGAGCATTGTCGTGTATAATTGGGAATAACACTCGATATAATTTTCTCCATCCACAAAGTTTGAATTCTTAACTTTGCTCAAGAATAATTGAGTTCCTTCTACTCAACTTTACACAGTTGATACATGAGGATGCTTTCTGCTAGAGCTTTCCTTCCCATTCACAAAAGTAAATGTATATGATCCATTTGAAGAAAGACACAGAAAAGAGTTGATGAGTATGATCGTAGGATACGAATCCTACACATACTCACGTAGTAGATAAGTGATGTTATAGAATGTGAATTGTATACACAATCACATTTTTTTATGTCATTTTCTTTCTAAATGCATGAAATATAAAACAGAAATGATGCCCCTTTGGTGTTTCACTTCCCCCCTTTGTCTCTAACTATTTCTTTGCAATATTTTCTGATTTTTATTGCCCCACCCCCAAAAAAAAAAAAAAAGGGTTAAGGATCCGAATCCACTGACCACCAAGACAATCCAAACTAATGTGAGCGTTTGCACGCGTGATTTGCTTTGCAACTCGGAGAGCTCACAAGTTGCCATCAACTAATTCCCATGGTGAAATCATCAGGCTTCAAGCTTTGTCATATTTAAGTTTTTTGTTTTGTCTAGCTTGTTTAGTTTTTAATATAAGATCTAGATAATTAGTTTGTATAAATTAAGAAAATTAGTCAAATTAGTTATTTATAACAAAATTGTATTAACTTCTTTAAAGTATTTTTTTACTCATTCATTGGAACTATTTTTTTATGAAAACTCTTTTTAACCAATAAGAATATTTTTGAAGAAAAAAATTATCATATTTGATTTCAATATAAAAGCTAGTTTAGATATTGAATTTGGTCATAAATATGAGACTTTAATACATTGTCTCTCTCTCTCTCTTTTTTTTTTGTTGAAAATATTCCTATTGATGATAAGATATTCCTAGAAAGGGGTAATCCAATATACTATTTTCAATTCTAAATATAAGAACTAGTTGAGGGTCCTAAATATAAGATTTTAGTTCATTTTGTCTCTTAAATTTATTATGTGTTCTAAAAAATATTCCTTGTAAGGTATTTGCACCCAAATATAGTTTTAATGTACATAATTAAATAAGGTTAATTCAGAAAAATCGACACTTATTTATTGCAAATACCTAACTAATTTTATTAATTTTTTTAAATTAGTTATCTAGCTCTTATATTAAAGATTGGAGGTAGTACATGATTAAAGAAGACAATTTAGGATGACCAACACAGATTTGTGATAAATAACTAAATTTTTTTAATATTTTTAAATTAGTTATCTAGCTCTTCTGTTAAGAACTTGAGATAGTATAAATTTGGAAAAACAAAACAAATTAAGATTTTATAATCTAGAAGTAATTTTTTTTATTATAAATATATCTTTCTTTCTTTCTTTTTCCGTAACTCGGTATTCTCAGGACTTGCAGTACTGAATAGTGAACTGATTCCTTTTTAATTTTACATTCTTCGTCTTTTGTAGTTGTACATCTGAATACCCATACTACGCCTCCGCAACTGCAACAATGTGTTTGGGCCCACAAGTAGTATGAACCCTCAGTCAATGTTCTCCCATGCCTCATTAAGAAACTATAGGTAACAAAAAATTGCAATTTTAAACTATATGAACTAAAACCAAAATTATAAGGAGAAGCAATGGTATTGACATTTTTAAATATTAATGATATATTTTACAATTTTCAGAATAGTTCAACAATAAGTTGATTATTAATATATGCTATTAAAAATATATCTTTCAACAAAAATAATTGGCCAATGCTTTCATCTGCGCAGACTACTTTTCAACATCTTTATGAGGAAAAAAAAAAAAACCTCTTCCCATTGGTGTTCAGTTTGATCAAATTAAAATGGTAACTTCTTGTACGTTTAAAAAATAATTTTATCTCGTAATTTAAATCTAGAAGATCTGTAAATATTTAATTAAAAAATTTTTGAGTATCATCGAAAGATACAATATATTACTATAAACATGTTGAGGAATGTGTGTTGAGGATGTTAAAAGGTTAAACTTCAAGAAGGCCATTTAGGCAAAATATGTTGCAAAGGATGAGGTCAATACTCTTTAGTAGGTGTTTGGGATTGTATAAAAATGCTTTCTAAAAGCACTTTTTTGTAAAACAAGATAAATTTCTCTATGTATTTATTTCGTATACCGTAAAAGCACTTTTAAAATCATGTTTTGGTTTCTATCTAAATACCCGTGTTAATCTCATCGTATTAATATTATATTTTATTAATATATATCTTTTTTGGTAGTTCCTTATAGTTGAGCATTATTATTATTGTTGTTATTGTTGTTATTATTATTATTGCTGTGTCTTCATTCTCTGGCTTCTTGTTACTAATGGTTTTTAAATTCGTGGATTTACTCGTAATTGAGTAATTATATGTTATTTGTTCTTTTTCTTTTCATTTTTTTTTGGTTAAAGTATAGATATTCTCATATTGGAAGTAATTCTATTTAAGATATTGTCAAGCACTAAATGTAGACATCTCTCCCAACAGGGAATTGAACTTTGGTTCATCACGTTGTGAGGGATTCTGCATGTTCTTTTTCTTCTTCTGAGCCCACTTTTAAATACCTAAAAACCCAATGCAATATAAATGCCACAGGCAGCCCATAAATTCCAATTGCAATCAAAATAAATCAATCTAAAAATTGTAAAATATTTAGTGTTAATATCATTATTAGTCCATATAATTTAATCAAATTTTACTTTCCGACCATGTATTTTCAAATTTTTTTTTTTGTTCCTATAGCTTTTTTTTTGTCTAAAAATGATAGTCCTAATGTAATATTCCATAAGGACTTGGATCTAAATTTGATGGCATTAAGGAAAGTCAAATATATGATTTAAAACTAAAACTTGCTAAAAAATATATACGGGGACTGAAACAAAAACTTGTCAAAATATTTATCTTTCCATTTAAAAAAAATTTTTGTTGTAAGAATGTGTCAAATAATCCTGTTGTCTTTAATATAAGATCTAATTAACTAATTTGATTAGAGTAAAGAAGTTAGGTAAATTAATTAATTATAAAAAATATGATATTTTTTTAAAATACCTTAATTATTTTTCTTAATATTCTTCCAATCTCTCCTACTTGATTATAGTTGACAAAATATCCATAGGGATAATTTAGGAAAAAATTGATAAATATAAGAAATAAGTTTTATATTTAAAATCAAAATTAACTCAACAATTAAGTTTTATATTAAGGACCGAACGATTATTATAATTAATTAAGCATATGAAAATTGCATCCAGTTTTTTGAATAAAAGATAATAACATTCCATATGAAAACAGTAGTGCGCACAGTGAGGAATATCCTTGAATAGTGTAAAGAACATAAATGAAATACAAGATCTCATCATATTTACTGGTCCTAATTATGACAGTTCAATTAGTATAAAAGTTAAATAAAAATTTACTTTGATTATAAATATAAAACTTTAATTGACTTTGTCTCTTAAGTTTATATTTTTTTGCCCAAAGCCATCTCATTTGATTATATTACACATATTCCAGTGTACTTGATTAGAGTGGATAATTTAGAAAAATCAAGATATATTTATCACAATAACTAACTTAATTAATTTTCTTAATATTCATAAATTAGTTACATGGTTCTAACGGATGAAAAGTACTATGTGGGATGATGATGTGTTTCTGTTGTATTTATACTTTTTCGGTCCTTAATATAAGACCAATTTAACTAATTTGATTAGATTAAGGACGTTAGGTAAGTTAGTTAATTATAAGAAAAGTGACATGTTTTTTTAAAAATACTATAATCATCTTTTTTAATACCTCATCTACCTCTTCTACTTGATTATAGTTAAGGAAATATCCATAGGGATAATTTAGAAAAAATTAATAAATATGATAAATGTGTTTTATATTTAAGATCAAAACTAACTTAAAAATTAGGTCCTAATTAAGGACCGGAGGAGTAAATTATAAGCTGTGTAGGCATGGAGGCCTTTCATTTCGCGTCACAGAAGTTACAGATGAGCATTATGCTGAAGCTGAAGTATGGGTCTAGAATGACATTTGGATGATCCCTCGAAAAGAAAAATTTATCGGCTTGGTCCCTTGAAACAAATTGCCTTTTCCAAATTGACGCCTATGATATATTCTGGGAAAGTTTGGTTAAAAATGTCTATGTGTAAAAGT